TCGTGAGAACATTTGATTAGTGCACATCCTCCATGTCAATACCCGAGGATGGAGCTGTGCACAAATGATAACCAGGACTTTACTTTTCAGGTGATCCAAACTGCTGTCTCAAGCGCTCTGCTGCTTTTAATTCATCTTCAAGTTAATACACTCGTTCCTTCCTTGACAAGAGTCTTGAGGACCAATTCTGTATTAGACACTGGCCTAGGACTTTGGGCGCTAGATGTTTGCTGGTGGAGAGAACCTTGTAAGCCTTGGGTTAGGATCAATGGTAGAGGGGAGGAATGCATGGGCCGTGGTGTCCTTCTTGGGAAGGGATCAAGTTTGTCCATGGAATTGGCTTTCTTGGCAGGACTGGTCAATTCCAGAGAAAGCAGCATAGAAAAGGGATTCTGGGGAAGCCGGGCGACTCCTGCAGAGGCCTGATGGAGCGGCCAGCCCAGTGGCCCCCGTGGTGGAGCCAGAGCACAGCAGGTCAAAAGAGGCTTCAGCATGACATTCAAGGGCCTTGAGGAGTCAGCTCAAGGAAACAGTGGGAACCAGGGCAGGACAGTTCAGCAGGGGAGTGTGGCCGGGTTCTGGTTTGTGAGACATGGCTTTGCAATCTGCATGGAGGATTACTTGGGATGGAGTAAAAGGGACCTATAGTGAAAAGACCAACCAGCATTCAAGTGACGAATGACGAGGGCTCTTGCAGAGCCAGAGCAGGGGTGTGGGAGTGAAGGGGCTGGATGGGGGCAGCAGGATAGACAGGGCAGGTGGGACGGATGGTCAGCTTGACATGTGTAGTGAAGAAGAGTGAGGCGGGGACGGTGGTGTCCTTATAGAGTTGCTGCGTGGTCAGTGGTGTTGCAGAAAGTAAACAGGGAATTCATTTTTTGTATGTGGGGGGTGAGGAATGTGCTTAGAGATAAGGTAAATTTGGGATGCCCTGGGATATTGCTATATGGGTGTCCTCAAAACATGATGTTAAAGACTTGGTCCCCAGGGTGGTGGCATTGGGAGGTGCCATGTACTCTCAGTAGGTGGAGCCTATGGGAGGCCCTTAGGTTATGGGTGTGCTCCTGAATGGAGTTAGGGGTCCCTAGACGCTCAGTTTTGCTTTGCTTCCTGGCTCCTGATGTAAGTGGCTCATTCTATTCCTGTCACAATGTGCCACCCTCATCAGAAGACAGAGCAATGAGACTCTATAACCATAAGCTAAATAGTTGCCTCATTTTGTTGTAGTAACATGAAGCTGATTAATACAGACATTAAGTGGAAGAATCTGTAGTTAGTTGAAAGTCATGCACTACATGACACAGATATGTACCCACATCTTAGGAAAGAGTAAGAGAAAGTGGTATCACAGAAATAAACTCAAGTCTGTGAGTCTTGAGTTCAGCTGAAGCAATAAGAAGAGGCTAAGAGTGAGGAGAGGAGCTGCCTGTCCAGGTAGACCTTAGACAAACAACTGCTCTTCTTATCTCTCTCCTCTTTAGCAACTTTCAAATTTTACATGATCAACCTCTGCCTTCACCCACTAAAAACGATGAGTTTATAGCTTGCACTTTATTTCCATCCAAGCCATATGCTTGGATGGTACATAAATTTTTTTTGGGGGGAAAGAACTTCCATTATTTTCTCTTGAAACATTAGAAGCATTTTACAACTTAAATGGATTTTTCCTGGGAGCTACATCCAGAAGAGAAATGCATGAGCCATATCGTCAAAGTCCTCCAAAGAGGCTTTGCTGACTATTTTTAGAGTGGACATGAACATGAAGCGTGGGGAGATATGGCTGGAGGAGCCGAGATCAGGTTGAGGAAGGAGGAGGTGGCTGAGAGAGACCTTGTGCCCTTGGAAAGAAGAAAGGGAGTCGTTTCTGAGGGCACTGCTTCCCAGACTTCAATCAGTGGTTCGCCACCTTCATGGATTTTACCAGATTTCCCACATCATCTGCACAATTATTTACTTAGCCTTTTTTTTTCTAAATCAATTCACTTTTTAAACTTAAGGAAAAAAAAAAAACAATTATACAACATAGGAAATATCACTTCTGAAATGGAGACCTGTATCACTTACCATAAATATCTAAGAGGATTAGTTTTTAAAGCTTCGATAAAAAAAAAATTAAAAATCATTACATTCTGGCTGGATACTGTTGCTTGCCTGGGGCTGGGAACCTCAGACCTACTCTCTTTTTACAAAGAAAGGTGATAAGCAAGCAAGAAAGCCTCAAAAAGACATTCTAGCACCCAACCAGATTTCCCCTCTAGGCGATCGGAAGGACTGAAACAAATTTGAAAAGAGAACAAACTTTCTCACGGAGTAATTCAGTGTTATTGAGTCTTGGGTACCTCCAGCACTCAAGCCTTTGGGTAAATTGTCCTAGGATCCAAGCTAAAAAGAGGTGAGAAAAATGGAGACTAAACCTCCTGGAACCAGCTTAAGGTTTGGAGTCAATTCTTACCCTCTTCCCTTGGAGCTCAGTTAACAAAGAAACACACAGGAGTCCCTCCCCAGTGTATGGGATCCTTGGAAGCCAGGAGATCCATGCATGGGATCTTTAGGCACCAGTGTTGAGGCTGGCTCTTTGGTGATAGAGGATCCACCCAAGTGATCCCTGGCAGGAGGAGAGAGTCAAGGAGGCTGAGGGGGCACAGAGATAGGACCAATGGTCTCGTGTGTCTTGACAGGAGCAACAGCAGAGCCACAGCCTTTGGCTCCTGGGCCCTGTGGGAAATCCCACTTAGAAAACCTTATGTGTTGCTAACGAGGCAGCAGTGTCTCCAGAGAAGAGGGCCCAGTGGGCAATCCATCATGTGCCCATGTGCCTCATGTACAGTGACATGCTCTGGGCCCATCCATCATCAGGGGGAGAGAGCACAGCGCCAGAGCGAGGCCCGCGGAGGAGCGTTTCACATCACTTATTCATTGGCTTCTAAGATGTGGCTTTTCAGGACACCACACAAGTTCGAAGTCATTTGAAATGTTTTTTTTTTTTTTTTTTAAATGACAACTCTCATCTTGCTTCTGTGGCTGTGACGGGGATGTTGTTCTGATCTCTCTGCTTTCATCAAATTAATTGCCCATTTCTTCACAGTGGTTTGGATACAAGGGGGGCACATACTGTCTGGGAGAAGAGTCTAGACTGGCTGTGAATGACGATGAGGAGCCTCGGCAAGCTGCACATGTTCTTCTGGAAGGGAGGGGCGGCTTGCCAGCCCACCCAGGGGTGGGACTTAATTGAGAATCTTTGCCTGGGATGTTTGAAGTAAGCACTAAAAAAACCACAGACGTTCTCAGACTTGTTGGGTGGTCACAGTTCAACCAAATATTGTCACTTTTAATTCAGCTTGGAAACACAGAATGTCAGAACTCAAAGGGACCATTGGGACTGGCTAATTAAAAGCTCTCATCTTTCAAATGAGGAAACTCGGAGGTCAGAAATGACTTGTCCAGGTCACAAAACTCATAGCAGGCTGGTAAATAACCACCTACCCTTTTCACTTTACATCAGCCAAATAAAAAATTATTTTAAGGTCATACAAAATGCATCATGTAGCTACCTGAAGAGAGAACAGCCAGAAATTTAAATGCAAGTTGGTTCAAATGAATTCTTCCTACTTATGATAGGTTTCTTTGTTCTCCCTCGCTTCAGATAGGAGATATTTTTTTTTTTAAAGGAGAAAGAAAAAAGGTAGCCATTGATAAAGACGGCCTGCTTCTGTTTGCCACAACTACGAGGCCCCTCCTCTGAGGGCACACTTCACATGGAGTTAAAAGGCCTCTTTCTGTGTGACTTGTGCAGAACCTTCCTCTATTTGGTAGAAACGTGGTCTTGGGCTCCTCCGTGTAAGGAGTTGACAGGTAGGTGGAGAAAATGCCCAAAGCTCTGCCCCAGTGTAAGCACCTGCTGGCTCCCAGGTATGGGGCACCCTACTGCAATAAAGTCTCAGGATGCTGCCAGAAAGAACAAGAAATTTCTACCAGAAGACACGGGCAACCCACCCGGGCAACAGTGCACTCAGCCGAGCTATCATTCTCCGTGGAAAGAGAAAATAGTGAAGAAATGAAAACCAGACATTTTGGTCAACAAAATTATAGGACATCAACTGAAATGACCACTTTTAACCACTTTTCCACTGTGCCACTGAAAGTGGGGTTCCAGCTGAGGAGCCATTGGTCTTCCTGGTAACAACAGTAATGAGCCCTGCTCAGTTGCGGTTATGGAAGGCACTTGCATCTGTTACCTCCTTAGGTCCCCGTGGGGACTCTCAGTAGAGGTCACTGCTCCCAGGCTACAGATAAAGAAACTGAACCACGACATGGTAGCTGATCTGACTTGGGATCAAAGCACAGATCTTTCGACTTGAATGCTCTTACCACTCTATCGTGTTCCCATCTATCTCCTATATAAACCACTTTATTGTAGACCTCATCCCATGCTGGGAAGAAATGGTATATTTTGAAAGGAACACAAAGTGCTTAGCACAGTTCTTGACCCATGGTGAGTGCTGGGTGTGGGCTGGCAACCAGGGGTGGAGATGGGAGGCGGGGGTCACCATGGTGGAAAAATTGATATCACAGGTTTGGAATTAGAAAGATCTGGATGTCAGTCCTGAGTCTGACCCCTTCTGCTCTCAAGACTATGTTCTACATGAGCTGGCCCAAATGGCTTAACTTCCCTGACCACCATAAGGCCCACCTCACGTGTGTGATAGTGAAATGAGATGCCAATATGCAGGCAGAGCTTACCTCGGTACCTGAACTACTGTCTGATAAGCATAGGGATGATATCATCCAAAGGGCTTGCTCATCGAGGTCCTTACCCATCAAGGTGACCTGCCTTGAAACCAGAAGTTAATGTCTCCTAGTTAAACACCTTATGTTTTAAGTCTCATGCATTTGTCTTTTCCCCTCTGTCGACTTTGTGCATTTAGAGAGTTTACTAGAGTGTTCCTTGAACCCCATGACTTTTGTGCTCTGCAGAGCAGGCCTTGGTTGTGACCAGGTACCTGTATATGATGCACGCTGTGTTCTGGCAGGTACTGCAGTTGTTGAGGTCTTGGCCGGTTCGATAAAAGTTGCGCCTGCAAGACAGAGCATTTGCTGGATAAATCAATGGGCAGAGGCCACAGAGGACACACACATCTACCAGCTAATCCCTGGGTCCCTACCACACAACATTCATGGTGCCCTGAAGTTTGTGTTGCAAAGAAGGAAATAAAAAATTGCAACAAGGGGACCTCCATTTCTAGTGGGCTTTATGCATCTTTGAACACTTTCAAATCTGAAGGCTTTTTCCTGCTCCCACCAATCCTGCAACATGAGGGATTGGATAGAGTGATTAGTAAAAATCCCGACCCTTTGGTCCAGTGCATTTCTCTCTGTATCATCACAGAGTTCTCTCTTCTCAAGCAACGTGGATTCTGATTCCTAACAGCAAATGCCAGCTAATTGCTTCTCTCTCAGTCCCTTTTTGATGAGCGTTAGCAGTGCTTCCTCTTGGTCTTTAGATGATGCTTTCTAGAAGGACAAGGGCAGCTCACACCCAGGCAGATCACTGCCCTCCCCTCCCCACACTGGTGCTGAGTCACCCTGGAATGTATTTGGCGACTTTTTTCTCTTTGCAGAATTGTAATCTCATTTCAACTCTTACAGAGTCGGTCCATAATGGACCAGCCCAAGTCCTCAAAGTGGTCAGTGGAGCGAGGATGGTCAACTATAAGCTCAGTGGCCACCTTAAGCCCTTTGTGACAAACATAAATGCAAATGCATTAACTCACTAAGAGGGTGGGGGAAGTGTCAACCTGCTATAGTGTCCCCCTTCATCTATCAGCTGGACCTGCATCTTTATAAAAATCAGGTCTGATCCATGGCTTTGCTGTTTTCTCCTCCCACCCCCATCCAGGACATAAAAGCAAATAACAGTGGAAATTCACCCTGATCCACCAACCCCTGGAACTGAATGAAGCCCCATCAGAGTGAAGGGAGGCCATCAGCTATGATAGGGGGACACAACTGACCTCAAGCATCTTGGAGACATTTTGCCAATGGGAGTCGGTGCTCTCGTTCTCTGTCCCATCCCATCAAATGACTTCACCTAGAAGATTTTGGGGGGGGATGGGGGGGTACAGGAGGATTACGAGTTCAAACCCGGTAGTTTTTAACATAAGAAAAATTCACCTTACCCTTCAGTAAGAGCTCGAGCTTTCTCCAAGTCTTGAATTACATTCAAAAGGACCTTAATTTTCTCTTGGTTGGAGTGTAGCGATTCCTCCACAGATTGCAGCCGACCTTGGAGGTCGCAGAGTTCACCCCGTGCCAGGTGTATTTGATTGATGTCACTAATCTCCCTGTTGCTCTGAGATTTGCTCTCACTCCTTGGAAGAGAAGAGGGGAGGGGATTGTTTCCTGGGCAGTTCTGAAATTCCAGGGTGTCTGGTTGGGTGGGGTTCTTTGCCAGCTGCTCCTTACACCCAGGGGCAGACTTTGATGCACTGTTAGTTTTGCATGCCCCCAGGTCCTGGTGACTGTCATCCGATGCATCCGATGCAGGACAGTCTGAGTCTCTTTCTGGATGGGTGGGTTGGCTGTGGGACCCTGGTGCAGGGGAGCTGTGAGTTTGTGGAGATGAAGGGACGAATGTGTCCTTTGACTGAGATGACAGCAGGCCAAGGTCTCGGTCCTCACAGTTGTCTTTGGGCAAAAGCAATTCGTGCTTGAGTTTCTCTGTGCCTGGGGTGACAGCCAAGCCAGAGGGAGATCTTTCTGAATCTGATATCAGCACCCTTCTCCCCTCCCCTGGACACACGTCAATCAAAGGGGGTATCGAGTTGCTCCTCTCAGTTGACTCACCTGGGCTGAGCGTGGATGCTCTCGCTTCCCAGGAAGGACCGTGATAAAAATCATCTGGGACCTGAATGGCAGCTGCAGCTTTCTCTGAGGCCCTCCAAGACCCAGCTTCTAAGCATATGCTAAGAGGCCCGTTGCTTTGCACCTTGGACACCCTCGGCAGAAATGGGTGGGACACTTTGACCCTTCGAGGTCCATCCTCCAGGTGCTGAGCCAGCCTTAGGTAGGCAAGGTCAGAGGACACAATGTCCTGTTCCGAGAGGTTGCCGTTGACCTGGATGGCACTTGGGGGTGCTGTGGGCATTTCCACCAGGGACTTGCTGGCTGTCAGTTTCTTCCTTTTGAAAACTGGGAAATGCTTCCTGAGACTGGGGGAGGTTTGGATGGCAATGTTCCGAAACCCCCCGGCCTTCTGGGACCTGGGGAAGGACAGCGAGTAGGCAGCGGGGTGATGATGCTTGGGTGCTGGTGTCTTCCCCATCCCAGCCAGGTCTTCGGGAGCCTGGGTGTCGGCCTCAGCTAGGCCAGTTGGGTTCTTAGTGGTCCCATCGTCCTTGAACCGCACCTGCTGGGATTTGCTCCTGCGGTGGTGAGGTGGCTTCACGAGCTCCACCGACTCTAGGCTGTTACGCTTCAGGAGCACGGGTCTCACTTTCATAGTTGGCTGGGCCATTGAGCCTCAGTGGGAAGGAACAGAACCAGACACTTCTCCGGCACACATCTCCCTTAGGTCTTTGGAGCAGCATCGAATGACGGCATCTCAGGCAAAGAGAACTGCCAGCCAGGATGCAGTGGCCCTCCCCTTTTAGGATAGGAAGCCCTGTCGGCCATTCCCAGCCTGTGGTTCCACTTAGGAGCTCTATGAAAGCTTCCCCCACTGTCCCGATGTTATTCCACGGCAGTCATGATGGCTACGTAGAGAAGCAGTGATTAGGCTAACTATTAGACATCTGATCTACCAAGAGAGCTGGGGGCTGCTCACCAGGGTAGGTCAGGAGCACTGTTCTGATCCTGGGAGAAGCTGGCCGTCTTGAAGAAAAAGACCACCAAAGTACCATTTGGGGAATCGCAGCACACTCCCAAAGAGAGAGCCCCCAAAACACCTGCTACATCCAGAACATATGGGTTCCTTTCCAGAGCAGCAAGTTTCAGTGTCAAACTAGGGAAAGCTCAGACACATCTTCTTGCCATAGCATGTAAATAGCTGGATAAATAAGTGACTGGGGAAGTTGCTGCTTTGGTGACACATGATGCTCCTGAGGGGGAGTCTGCCCTGATGTCAATCTCAGAGTCCTCCTTTGGGGTCATTATTTCCTTTCATGCTGTTTCCACATTCTTCAGTGGGGGCAAGCTTGTTTTCCTAAACAGCCTCACAAAACCCAGTAGGATGGAGGCAACAGAGGGCGTTCAGGGAGATGGAGTCCCCTGTCGTGATGTCTTAGCTGAGGTTCACATGTGGGCCGAGTCAGCCACGTCTGCGCCTCGGGACGTTAGGCCAGGAACAGCATTCACTGGGTCAGTCTTTGCGAGCAGCTAGGGAGCACCTGAAAGGGAGGAGAGGACATCACCCAACTGACCCCTGACTGAGTAGTTTTGAGTGAGAGGGTGTAGGAAAGGTCCCTCTGCACTGTTCTTCTCTGTGCTCCTAGAGAGCCAGGTGCCTTGTGGGTGCAGGGCCTTGGGACAAAGCACTCATCTGCCTGGATCCTGCGCTTCCTGCACTCCCAGTTATCAACCAGCCAGCTCCTCTTCATCAGCAAAGACCCACCTTAAATGTCATTCCGGAAGGAGCTTTTACAGTGACTCTCTCCTCATCCACACCAGTGCTAGTCCACTCAAGGCTCCCATTTGACATTCTCATCACATCCTTTAATGGCAGAAATTGCAGCTGTCATTAAATAATCATCTGGGGACTTATTTATTCAGTGTGTGTTGACCCATACCTTGTGCACCCTTGGAGGACGGGGCTGGGGCCACCCTGTGCATGGTGTAAGTATGCCCAGCCTCCCACCTGATCCTGTGGCTGCTCACTGGGCATAGACCAGGGGAGCTGATGGCTGAATGAGCTCTGGAAGCCAAGGAGAGCCAGGGTGTGGGAGGGATGGAGGAACTGGGGCATCCTACAGGGGCGAGAGGACCCTGGCGTCTCTTTGCAGTGACTGCAGGCTCTTCCTAAGGACAAGATTTACCCCCTAACAGCTTCACTTTTACTGCCTTCCAGGAGATAACTATGCATGAAATTCTCTGAGGAACTTGTACCTTGTAACAATAACGGCCACCATTTATTGAGCATTTATTTTTACCATGCTGAGGGCTTTCCACACATTAATCATAACAACTCACATTTACTGAGCACTCACTATTGTGACAGGCGCTGTCCTAAGCACTTTCCAAGCTTTAACCCACTCGTTTGTCACCTAACTCCCCTATATAGATGGACACTGTCACTGAAACCATTTTACAACTGGGCTCATTACTTGCAGTTCAGAAAGGTTAAGTGACAGGCCTAAAGATACACAGCTAGTGACAGAATCAGGATCTGAACCTCCACAGTCTGACTCCAGAGCCTGTGCTCTTGACCCCTGCTCCCCAAAGTGCCTTTTCAGTGTTGCATTATCTCATTGAATCCTCACATAAAAACCTATAAGGTGTCATTATCTCCCTGGGACTGATGAGGTAACCAAGGAGTGGAGAAGCCGGGATTTGAACCCAGGTGTTTCCCATTCCCAAGTCTGTGTTGTTAACCAGGAAGCTTGATTCTGTTCCCTTCAGATCTTCCTGGTACATGGACAGGTGGGCAGTGATTTGAGAATGGTTTTTAAAGCGCCCTGCAGACTTGAGAGATAAGGACTGTCCCCTGGCCTCGCCAGAGCAAAGCCAACCAGAAGGCTTGCTGTAGGTTGGAGGATCTGCATGAGTCCCAAGCCTTCCTGGTCGACCACAGGGCTTGGAGAGAAAATGAGTGATCAAACAGCCCACTGGAGTTTGGGTTTCCCTGACAGAGGAGTCGTTGCATGACCCAGGCTCGTTGGGTCAGTGCATGTAAAGCTGGGTCCACACAGCGATCAACGTGTTTCTCATCCTTGCTGGCATTACTATTTGGCAGCCAGGTTTCTCCTGGCGAGTGCCAGCGAATGTGTGAGTGTGTATGGGGGGGGGGGGGTGGCGACCATCAGATCTCAACAAGCTTCACAGGCTCCGCAGCCCGACTGTGGATGACCCCATCTGCAGCTTTTCCAGAAGGTAGAGCCACTCTTAAGACAGAAGGAGCGAGCTCAGGGCACACTCACCTGTCTGCAACGCAGGGCTGACCTGGAGAACTGTGTTTTCACTTAACTCTAGGGAGACAAGCCTGCTGGCCCGGGTTCCCCAGTCATTCTGCACAGCAGTCCCGGGCAACCCGACTTTAAATCCGGGTTGTGTGTTTCAGCGACTTTGCATAAGGAATTTTAGGTCTAGAAGAATCCAGATTCTACTTTCTCATTCCATGACTAAGTCTCCCTTGGACACCTCCAGGGACACGGAGCTCATTACTTTATCCAATAGCCAAATGGTTATTCTTCAAATTAGTACTAGCAAATATTCATGGAAAATGTCCTGCTGCCAAGCGTTGTGTTGGCATTGGCATTTGATCCTCAAAATAACTATGATCCCCATTTTGCAGAGTGAGAGACTGAGGTTTGGGAGAGTGTCACGTGCCTAAAACCCTCCATCTTGTGCCCTTCACCCTCGCACTGCAGAACCTAGATCTTTGTGTGTCTGCTTTTGCCGAATTGGGACCAAGTTATTTTTCACTGACTCTTCACCTGCTCTTTAGTGTTGTATTCAGGAACAACATCAACTCTCACGAGCTACAGTGGTCTGAAGCTGGTTGTCATAGCACTAGCGTCTGGTGAGCACTGAGCATGCGCTGGGCATCAGCAGAGGTGCTTTTCCATTTCCTCTCCTCCCTGGTCTTTGTAACACTCCTAGAGGAGGTACTGTCAGTCCCCCATTTGACAAACAAGGACACTGAGGTGCAGAAGGAGAGCAATTTGTCCCAAGTTGCTCTCCTGGCAAATGACAGAACTGACATTTGAACCCCAGGACCGGCTCCTGGGCCTTCCTGCCTTCTCCGGCCCTGGAAGGGCTGATCGTTTGGTGCAAGGCTGGCCTCAGGATCAGCCTCCTCCACATTCCCCTTCTGGAAGCCGCCCTGGTTCTGTTTCAGCCCTGTCTCTTCTCCAGCAGATTTGTGTAGCCTTTAGATGTTTTCTTTTGATCTTTAAAAACAGTCAGCTTTCTGTTTATAGATGCAATACGGTCATTGTAAAATCCAAACAATGTAGATAAACAAAGGAAAGGAAAAAAGAAGGAAGCTCATCACCAAAAAAGAGCCACCAGGCACCCACAACTTGGTACAGCTCATTGGCATCTCCGTGCTCGGGGCTCACGTGGGTAGGATGTGCATAGCTAGGTTTGTGGACAGAAAGCCTCATCTCCACTGTCCAGGTTGGAGGAAGTTCCCAGGTGGCTCATAGGCTCCTTTCGCAGGCTATCAGGACTCGGCTATCTACCATGGTCTACTTAAATATGTCCTTCTGTGGATAGTAACTTTTTTCTCAATATTTGATATTACTAATGATGCTGTAATTAACATTTTTTTGTACATGAACCTTGGAGCACTTGTCTAATAATCTCTTGGGGATAAATTCTTGGAAGAAGAATTAGTGAGTCAGTAGCCACATCTTTTACATTTTGTTGATAAAACCCCTTTACCACTTTTACCTCCAGAAAGTTCTGCTAAGGAAGGCCTCTCCAAGGGTGTCTGTCACTGTGGTTAGTTTAAGATGTTTTTTTTCATCATTGACAATAAAGTGGAAGTGATAGTGTATGTCATTGTTCTTATTATGGAGCTTATTTAAGATTGGATTTTTTTCACATTTGTTGGATTCATACCATATTTGGTATAGGTACTGAGTGAATAATTGAAAAGGAAAATGTGAATAACCAAGCTAATGTGGAATCTCTGGTCTCCTGGACAGAGCCTGGAAACTTTAGGAAACATGTGATTTTCACTTTAAATCAACCATGTATTTATGTCCCAACTCTTCCTCCTACAACGCCCACCATGACCTTTGAGTAGACTTGTCCTGAGGAGTGTATCTGCTGGGAGGAGTAACCGTGTGGAGGCCCCTGAGTCTGCTCCCAGCTCTCAATTAATTGGTAGGGAGTTCCCTGGGCCTTGGTGGTTAGGGCTTAATTGATAGCCTGGCTGGAGTCCAGAATCGCTCCCCTGAGCCCTCACAGCAGCCGGCGGCACCTCGTGGTTCAGCAGGTGCTCCTCTTTCAATCTTGGGTCTGTCCTCCTTCGTTTACCAACTTACTGAGCACAAACCACGTGTTTATGTTCCCACTGTGCCCTTGGCCCACATCTGAGGGTCCTGGTGCAATCAGGGTCCATTTGACAGATACAGAAAAACTGAGCAAACTGTAGGCCTTCTCCCGCGTGGGCACCCAGGTCTCTCCTCGGGTTTATGTTGGCACTGCAGGGAGGGCATCAGGGAAAGGCTGCAATTGATGACCTGGACTGGAATCTCCCACTTTTGACTGTCAAACAAGTGACGTGGCCTTGGTAAAACCACTCAGAGCCACTATGAGGACTGCACGGGGTCACCTGAAATGTTCAGCACAGCCATGTTGGCTCGCCAGATGGAATCCACTGGAGGCCATGAGGTGACTCCAAGGGGCCTCTTGGTCCTTCCACTTTCCCTCGGGAGAGGGAACTGCAGGACCGTTTGTGGGAGAGAATGGTGTGCCAGGAATCCTGCCCATCTCCCTGCCACCCCTGTACCCTGGGTATTTGGGCACTGCCCTTGCCTCTTTGTGATCATAGGCTGACTCCCCACCTCTTCCATTAGACCATCACCCCTGAAAACAGGATGTGATGACAGTTTGCTCTGAACCCCAATCCTCGCTCCCAGCTTGGCAGAGCAAAGTGAGAGTGAATTCTTGGAGAATCAATGAATATAATCCCATGTCATCTAATCTTGCTTAACTTCTCTGGCATAAAGTAGCTTTATTTATTTATTTTTAATTGATTTATTTTCAGAGGCAGGTTTTCACTGTGCTGCCCACGCTGGCCTTGAACTCCTGAGTTCAAGGTGTCCTCCCGCCTCAGCCTCCCGAATAGCTGGGGCTGCAGGTATGCAGCATTGCACTCAGCGTTGGAAAGTATATTTATAGATGGCATGGAACAAATATTTGCATAACTGATTAATTAAGAGTGAATTAATTCACTTCCAACTTTCTTTCCCTTTCCATGATATATTGCCATTGGGTCTGGGACAAATGAACTACGTCTGTCCTTTGGTGTGTTATGCTTCCTCGATTTATGGCTCAGATTTAATTTGGTGAAACTTAATCGAGAGACTGTTATGATGTGCACACTCTAATAAACATTCTGAAGAGAAATAAAACTGGATCTGTATTGGAGCATTAAGAAAGGGCCTTGTGTTGCCAACCCCCTATGCAATGGACCTCTGGGGAGTGCTGCAGATTTTGG